CCTCCTCCTCCTCCTCCTCCTCCGCCATGTATAGATATATCCTGACAAACCGTCTTCTCCTCAGCAGGGAGAGGCACAGCAGTGGAGGGACGCTTTCTCCAGAACAAGCAGGGAAATTCTGCCTGGCGCATCACCTGGAAGCCGAGACCACCAACCCTGCGGAGTACGACTTCAGCTTCTCCCTGGAGATCCGAGGGCCGTGTTTATTGGCAGGTCAGCCGGGATATCAAAGGTGGAGCTAAGAGGCAGGAAAAGCCTCTTCTGGGCACCCAGAATCTCTGGCACCGGTTAAAGCCACATTATTTGGGCTGCTCAGTTGGCCAGGGAAAAGCCAACTGGAGCTAAGCCATGCCTGGTGGACGGCAGCCCTGGCCCCTCTTGTCCAGCAGCCTGTCCACCCTGTGGTCAGCCGACCAGTGTCCCAGAAGATGACCCACTGCCCTCAAAGTTAAGATCTGCCCGTCCTCTTGGAAGGGCCTGGAGAGCTCTCCAAGGTGCTGAAATGGCCAGACCTCATACAGGAGTCCGTGAATTACAACACTTCACTTAGTGACGACGACACTGAAACAAGGGACTTAATGACCATTTTCCACACTTAACGACCAGGGCAGCAACCCCATGGTCACATGATCACAATTCGGAAGCCTAGCAATGGACTCATATTTATGGGTCACGTGATTCCCTTTTGAGAGGAAGCCGGGTTCACAACCATGCGACTGTTTTAACAATTGTGGTGTTCGTAGCAAGAAAGGTCATTACGCAGAGCAAACCCCACTTAAGAAATGTCTCACTCGGCAACATGGATTTTGGGGCTCAGTTTTGGCCCTAAGCCGAGGACTAGCCGTAAGTATAAGCTCAATTGAAGAAGGAAGGGGATCTGTGGGAGCCATGGGACCAAACGCGTGAAGAGGCAGCCTGCCCCCCGTTGCTGAGTCACAACGGCGAGGAAATGAGGGCAGGGCCAGGCTGGGAGCCCAGGCGGCCACAGGAATCAAAGGGATAAATGCCATTAAAAACACCGCCGAAGCCTCCCGAAGAGAAGGCAATATGGCATTTACAGCCAATCCTCGGGGGACGTTTTCAGAGGGCGCAAAGGAGAGGCCGCCGTTAATTTGCACTTTAGAGGCGGGTGGGAGATGCTAATCGGATCTGCCCTCCATCGCGCGGAGGGACGCAGTTTTGCTAAGCGCATTTAATGGAGACGGATCCATCCCGAGATAGAGTCGGAATCCTATAGGGCTGCCTCTCGGTCACAAAAACGACCTTTTGACGCGGCCGTTTAACCAGGGAATAAAAATATATGGGTGGACCTTGACTTACGACCACAACTGAGTCCAACATTTCCATGGCGAAGCGAGACGGCCGCTAAGTGAGTTTTGCCCCATTTTGTGCCCTTTCTTGCTATAGTAGTTAAGTGAATCACTGCAGCTGTTAAGTTAGGAACACCGTCATTAAGTGGATCTGGCTTCCCCATTGATTTTGTTTGCCAGAAGGTGGCAAAGGTGATCGCGTGGCGACCGTCATAAATATGAGCCGGTTGAAGAGGAGGCTGGGTGGCCGCCTTGAGCTATTTTCTCACAGATCTAGATGACCTCTGAGACCCCCTCCTCTACGCCCCCCCCCAAAACAGGAGTGGAGAGCCCCACCCACGAGATCCGAGCGGACGCCGACCCTTCGGCCAGGTCAGCCAGGAGCATCACCATCACCCTGGCCAACAAGCACACCTTCGACCGCCCGGTGGAGGTGCTGATCCACCCAAGCGGTAGGTGGGAAGCCTCTTCGGCTCCTTCGCCCGCAGGGTGGGGGGCGAGGGAAGAAGAGAAGCAGGGCACACTTCCATCGCTGGAGGTTTTCAAGAAGAGACCGGATGGTACTATAAGCTCTTCCGCTTCGGTTGGACTAGAAGACCTCCGGGGGTCCCTTCCAACCCTAGGATTCCAGGTTATCAGCAGGTTTTCTGTTTTCTGAGAACCGTCCCTGCCAACCCGTTTACATTTGATCTCTGTGTGTTTGTGTGTGTGTGTGTGTGTGTTTTGTGATTGTTGGGCTTGTTGCAAATGGCACCAATGTCCACAGCAGAACCAAAAACCGTGGCTTATTTTAAAATGGGGGGGAGCTTTGGCCTTCGAAAGGAACCGGTGGGTCAAAAGCTGCAGAGTCCCGGAGAGTTCTGTGGGCCCCTCCCTCCTTTGACCACCCCATTGTTTCCCCTCCCCCCTTGTCCCCCAGAGCCCCACATGCCCCATGTCCTGATGGAGGAGGGGGACATGGCCCCCGCCCAGTACGAGCAGCACCTGAGTGGACGGAGCGATTTCATCAGGGGCACCAAGAAGGACCCCAGCCCCGAGAAAAAGGTGGGCACGGGGAGGGGTCTGGGGTTTTGGCAAAGGAGGGACCCCCTTTCTGTTCCTTTAAGGGCGGATTCCAGAAGTCCACAGCTCTTCCTCCCCTACTTAAAGCGGGACCATCCATTCAGACCTGTGTCTCGGACAATCAGTGTGGGGGGCAGCCAGCTTTACAGACAATCCTTGAGCTACACCCCCAATGAGGACTGAAAGTCTACGGAGCTGAAGAAGCTTCTTGGATGAGAAGCGAAATGTCTTCAGAGATAAACAAGAAAGTCCAGTTGCCTCTTCCAAAAAAATCTCCTTTGGGACTTGGCTTCAACCCGGGAACCTCTCTGCATCCCACCTGTTTGCAATCGTCCGATTCTGCCCAGCCCTCCCTCCCCCCCCACTGCCCTCTCTTGTCTCTCCTGTCCATCTGTCCGCCTGTCTTTCTCCCTCCCTCCAACCAGCCCCAGGGAATTTCTCCCTCCATGAATCCCCACCCCCACCCCGATGGGCGGCCGGCCAGAAGAGTTTTAAAAGTTCCTTTTAATCTCCCCTCCTTGGTCCTTTCAGACCGAAATTATCCGGAAGAGGCTTCACAAGGACATCCCTCACCACCCGGTGATCATGTTGAACTTCTGCCCGGATCTGAAAACGGTGCAGCCGAACCTCCGGATCACCCATGGGGAATTCATATTCCTGGTGGACCGAAGCCGGAGTATGGCTGGCACCAACATCGCCCGGGTGAAGGTGGGATGCTTAGGCTGCGCGGGGGTGGGAGGTTGGGGGGCTGGATGGAAGGGAGTGCTGTGGAGGAGGGCTTGGAGGGAGAGAGAGAGGGGGGAAGTTCAGGGTCCCATTTTATTAAATTCGTGGGGTGAGAAAGCCTCCTGCAACACAACGTGTGGTACGAAACACCCTTTAGGCTCTAGAAACAATGCTGGGTGGATTTCAACTCCCAGAATTCCCCAGCCAGGCTTGGTGGTTTTTTTCCCCCTCTGCCATCCCGCTCCCCAGAGTGGAGACGTTGGAGAGGAAGGGATCGTGGCTGCGGAATTGTATGAGCTGAATTCCACCCATCTTCAGGCACTGCAGCCGAAAGGAGCGTCAGGCACACACACACAACCTTTGCCGTGTGCCGTCTGCACAACGGGGATAGGAAAGAAAGAAAGAAAAAATCAGCAGCTACAAACCCTCGAAAGGACACGATTTCATGGCATGCCTGGAATGCAAAGCGCCCAATGGGCAGGGGGAAATGGGCAGGTTGCGTTCCCTGCCGGGCCTGCCTTCCTGGAGCTCGGAAGCTGCCTGCGCCAAAACCTTGCGGCGCTTCTCAAGAGATGACTCACCATTCATTAATCCGGCTTTGAAAGTCACCGATGCCAAAGGCTGCAGNGTGGAGACCAACACTGGATGCAGGGTTCCAGGCGTGGCCTTACGGAGTGGCCTCCCTGCAGACCGGTCAAAAGAGATGGGTCTTGTTTGGGGTTTACTGGGATTGGGGGGGGGCGTTTACTGCGCTCAGGACTCCGCATTTTAAGCGATCCGGGTGACCCCCGTTCTGATCCGAAAACGTCCTCCGGGCTTTAGATGATCCGGTCTCTGAAGGCAGCCATGGCTCCGGTGGTGAGCGACGTCTCCGTCGACTGGGTCTTTCCCGAAACGACAGAAGTCCTGATTTCGCCAGTCAACGCCAGCTGCCTGTTCCCAGGGGACCGCCTGGTGGCCTACAGCATTGTCTGTGACACGTCCCTCTACGTCTCCAACCCCCGGCTGGTGAGTGGCCGCGACCGACTGGCCCCTGCTGGCCCCTCTGATGGCCGTGCTCGGTCATCTGGGGCTGATGGAGCTTCAGTTCCATCACGGTTCCTGGACACCCAACGCATGGAAGAATCCTCCCTGAATGCTCCTGTCACTTCTTCCAGCATTGTGGTGACTCTGGACAGTAAATGAACAGTTGTAAGTCAAGGACTTCCTGTATTGAAGCCACAACCCAAAGATCTTTGATATGAGACCACGGACCAATAAAAACCCACCAGGGGTCTTCTGGGAGGAGAGGAGAGGTCAACGCTTGGGTTTCCTCCTGGGTAGAGGAGACCATCAGGGTTTATCCCTAGCATCCCTAGAGCTAGAAGGGAAAGAGTTGTCCTACCACGGTTTCCAGCGGCTCAGTCGGCCTCCTAAAGTGTTAAGCAGAGACCCGGCCCTCTGCCACTGAGCCACCGGCCTGGAAGCCACGAATGCAGGCCAGCCTGACCTTCTCTTCCCCAGGACAAGAGACGCCGGTACAGGATGCTGCATTCGCAAGAGTCGGGAGGCTCCGTTTTCTTCCACTCCCAAGAAGAAGGAGGAGGAGGAGGAGGAGGAGGAGGAGGGCCGGAGAACTGGGAGATTACCAAGGATCCCGAAAGCGGATTTCCTTCGGAGAGGAGCAGTGGGGAGATGGGAAGCGAATCGGATGTAGATTCAGGTGGGTTTGGACGGATTCAGCCGCTGATCCTATTTTTACCAATTTATTCCTTTGCTGTGCAGATTTTTCTTTTCCTTTTGAGTAAACTGGAGGGTTGGACCGTGGGAAGATAAGAATGTGGGTCATTTGTGCAACTTTTAGGGAAAAGAGAAGCGTCTTGGTATAAACAACAGGAACGCAACTTTTGTGATCTTTACACGCTGGGCCTCCTGCCCTTCCAGCCAGTTTCCCTGCCCAGGGTCAGCACGGCTCTCCTGGGGCCTAAAGCTTATTTGATGCTGGTTGTTTCCTCAGGCATTGGCCCCGCGACCCCCTCCCAGCGAAGGGCCTACAGTTCCAGCCAGGTCGCCCACCGGGAGCCTCCGCAGAAGCTCCCCACGGCCAGCGACTCCAGCTCCATCCAGGGCTCAAACCCTCTCCGGAAGGTCCCCCTGCAGGAGCTCAGCCGGATCACTTCAGACGCCCAGCCTGGGCAGGTGGAGATTCAGGTGAGGATGCTTTGAGGCGGCTGCTTAGGGCAAACTCAGCCGGGGGCTGGACTAGAAGATCTCCCAGGCCCCTTCCAACTCGGCATTCCGAGACCCGTACTCAAAATAAGGAGGAATTTCTCGGCGGGGAGAACGATGAAGCTGGCCTGCAGAAGTGGCGGCTTCTCCATCAGTGGAGGTGTTGAAGGAGAGACGGGCCGGGCGTTTGCCCAGGAGGCTCGAGGGTCTCCTGGCTGAGCAGGGGGTGGAACTAGAAGACCTCCAAGGTCCCTTCCAACTCAACTCAACTCATTCCATTCATCTTTACGTGGGGCAATTCTTCTGCAGGAGGAAGCCTCCCAGGGTGGGAGTGTAGACCCTGTGCCTGTCATATGTGTTTGTGTGTCTTTGATTGGACAATCACACACACACACACACACACACACACACACCGTCTTTCCCAAATGGGAAAACGGCCTCGGGGGGGGGGGGGAATTTAGTAGAGACCAGAGAGCAGCAGAGACCCAGCAGCCCCTCCCAGCCCATTGCAACCCCCCCCCCTTTTGAGGGAATTGCCGGAGGAGGCAAAAGAAGGCAGAAAAAGAGACCCCTGCAAGGGAAGGATGTGCGTGAGGGGGATCGATGCCATCTCTAGGATTGGCAGGCAGGTGGCAGCCCCCGCTCCCCCCCCCCCGGCAACCCAGCTGCCTCTGCTGGCTCCAGAGAGGGGGGGCCGGTCTGCGAGAGCAAAGGTTTCCATAGCAACCCAAGGTGGATTGGCCAGCGGGGCCGGTGAAGGGGCCTTAGAGCAGACAGGGATGATGGNGAAAGAAAGAAAGAAAGAAAGAAAGAAAGAAAGAAAGAAAGAGATGATTAGAGGGCTTCATAAAACGGGTGAAGAAGACTTGCAGGAACTGGGGAGGGTTAGCCTGATGGAGAGAAGGACCAGGGCGGACATGATGGACCCTTCCCACATTGGAGGGGCTGCCCCAGAGAAGAGGCGGTGATGGGATCCTCCAAAGCAACAGAAGGCAGACTGAATTCTCTTTATTCCTCCGTTTCACCACCTGCCTGATCTCCATGGCCCCAAGGCAGCAAAGGAAAGGGTTTCCCCCTCCTTCTCATCCCACCACAAGGGCCCCGTAAAGCGGCCTGGGCTAAGAGAGGGAAGGGAGCCGGGGGGGGGGGGCTGGGATTCCTCCGCAGTAGATTACTTTGATCAATCAGGGAGAACTGAAATGCTTGCCCGATAAAGACCACCCTGAGGACTACGAAAGATGCTCTTCCAGAGTCTCTCTTGCTACAAATCCATCTCCCCTTCTGCAAAAGGAGGGGGTGGAAGAATGAAAGCCCCCCCCTGCCCCCACCTCCAATAATGATATATGATTCTTTCTCAGCTGCCAAATCTGTGAGATAAAAGACTGGCATCAGGAGAGGGAGAAGGAGAGAGGGAGAGAGGGAGGTAGGGAAAGGGAGAGAAAGAGAGAGGGAGAGGGAGGGAGAGAGAAAGGAGGGAGAGGGAGAGAGAGAGAGGTAGAAGAGAGGAAGAGAGAGGGAGAGAGAGAGGGTGAGAGAAGAGAGAGAGAGAGGAAAGAGGGAGAGAGGGAGGGAGAGAGAGAGATGGGAAGATCAATTGACCTCTTGGCGTGGTTGAAGGTCAGAAAATGCCAGTTCGCAGGGGGGGGGGTGTTCTATGAGTTTTGCCAGAGCCATCATTAGCGAAGGGAGGGGGGGAATTTATAGCTGGAGGAGGGAAAGGGCTCAGAGCTACAAAAGCAGGGAGGGAGGAGGGGGTTCGAAAGCCGCCTCTTTTTCAGAAGAGCCCTGTTCGTGTTCGGAGACCTGCCACAAAGCCCGTCAGATGTCTGAAACCTCTGGAGGCGTCTCATTGTCCTCAGGGTCTCGGGCGTAAAACCTTCCCAGGAAGAGAAGAGGGGAGGGGGGAATGCGCTCGGCCTTGTGGGATTCTGGCACTTGTATCCTTCTAGTAAAAGTGATGCAACAGAATAGCAGAGTTGGGAGGGACCTTGGAGGTCTTCTAGTCCAGCCCCCTAGGATTTTAGTATTTAGTATTTATTAAACTTGTATGCCGCCCTATTCCCGGGGGGACTCAGGGCGGTGTACAAACACATGGGGAAGGGGCAATACAAAAACAAACAAGACATACAGGATGCAGAGACAGATTAAAAATACAACAAACGCAGCAATTCAAGTGGGGCCGGGAACTCATCAGCCTCAGGCCTGCCGGAACAGCCAGGTCTTGACGGCTTTGCAGAAAGCCTGGAGGGTGGTGAGGGTCCGAATCTCCACGGGGAGCTCGTTCCAGAGGGCCAGAGCAGCCACAGAGAAGGCCTCGAGGGGTCGCCAGTTGACACTGGCTAGTTGATGGTATCCGGAGGAGGCCTAATCTGTGG